ACCATTTCGAAAGGCCTCCGAGATTGCAAAGCATCGACATCATACTTGACGTCTCGCAGTCAGCTTGCAAGTATTGGATGTCTTCAATATTGGCAGATATCTGGGTGTGGTTGGGACTTTGCAGCTGGTCGTTCGAAAGATGCAGATGCCCTGCACCTCGCAATTGCAGACCCCCGACGATCAGGTATCAAGACACCGGAAGTGGCAAGAAATCAAGGACTTGGCTTCCTCTGAAGATTGAATGTAGGCTGGAAGTAGAGCCTTTCTTCAGAAAATGCTCAAAGAGGGAAAGGCATACCAGCCGTCGTCTATCAGAAATCATCAGATCGAACAAGAAGTTGGACTCCCGTCTCGAAACTTGGTGATTAGAGAAAGACATTTTTAAGTGTAGCCTGCAGTGTTGGGACACTCTATTCTTTCAGACCGGTTGGAATACACGTCTGAGTTTGGAGGGGCATGAAGACCGTAATCTCTCGGATACCATCCGCGAGAACAGGGCTTTTCATGAAGAAAGGAGAAGGTTGGGATTGCCGTTATTGGAGGGAGATATGTATCCTTAGCCTGCAGTGTTGGGATTGACTATGCATCCAATCAGGTGGAATACACATCTGAGCAATTGGCTGGATTGATCAGTGTTCCACCTCGACGGAGCGTAAACCTACACATCTGAATCACACAAACAAGCGTTTGGTTTCCCAAGGTCCAGTATAGATTCTGGAAGTGTGGATCTAATATCAAATCCCAGTTTGTGTTTCTCGTCTCTCATGTTCCGGATCCCCCTCAGCCCCTTTCTCGCCTTCGATCTGAGGTTATCTTGGGGGCCGGACTCCAGTGATTCAGTGCGACATGGAGGCCCTATCCGATTGGTCCAGAACACCCTAATCAGCGCCTTCCGCCGCCAAACACGGCCAAGGAGCCCAGAACCTGGAACATCGATAATCTCGCAACTTCCACCAGGGTTGAGACATAAATAAATACCTCGAGAAAGCTCGAGTTCAGGTCTTTGAATGTCTGTCTTCAGCCTCTCGTTTACCTTCTTCACAATACTCGTAACAACGGGATAGCTCACATACATCGCCCCACTTCTACAAGATGGCACTCCTCCACATCCTCCACGAGTTGGGTCTCCACTCTCTTCACAACTCGCCCCGCGACACCAAGATCCTGATTCTACAGCGGTTCATCCGATTTTTTGCCTTCGGAGGTTCCACGATCGTTCTCGCTCTGTACCTACACGCTATTTCTATCTCCGATGCCCAGATTGGGTTGTTCATGTCACTGACGCTTGTCGGTGATGTGATAAGTTTCGCGCTTACGTTACTTGCCGATGGCGTTGGGCGGAAGATTGTGCTTGGCGGAGGAGCCATGTTGATGGTGATGAGTGGTGTCGTGTTCGCTGTTACAGGGAACTTCTGGTGTTTGCTCGCTGCGAGTGTTTTTGGTGTTATCAGTCCGAAGTATGCTCCTGTTCGTCTGATCTTTATTTCCGTCTGAATTAATGGTGTGACTATTACAGCGGGAGAGAAATTGGCCCTTTTAGTGCTATTGAAGAGTCTACCCTTGCTCATCTTACCAAGCCAGAGATCAGAAGTGATATCTTTGCTTGGTACGTGGTCATCGGCTCAGCAGGAAACGCCTTGGGGAAATTAACTACCGGCTGGGTCGTTCAAAAATTACAGAGTCGGGAGAGGTGGAGTCCAGTGAGGTCTTACCAGGCAGTGTTTCTGGCCTACGCTGGACTTGGATTCTTGAACTTGCTGTTGACCTGTACGCTAAGTTCGAGGGTTGAACTTCATGGTCATGACGAGCAGAAAGATTCGGATGACGAGTCAGAGTCATTGATCTCGGGAATTGACACTGATTCCAACCACGAGATGACTGGTAAGGAAAAGAGATCGTTACTGCCAAAGATCAGCAAGGAGAGCCGAATTGTTCTCCTCAAGCTTTGCTTGTTATTTGCTCTAGATTCTCTAGCATCTGGTCTTGTGCCCGCGTAATTCTCCCCTTTCTTGTATTGCTTGAGAAACTTTTGCTAACAGTGATCTAGCTCCCTGGTCACCTACTTCTTCAACCTCAAATTCAAGCTACATGAGGGCGATTTGGGGACCCTCTTTTTCGTCGCTGGTATTCTCTCCTCGGTCTCATCTCTGGTCGCTGTCTCGCTCTCTCGACGCATCGGTCTCATCAGAACCATGGTCTTTACTCATCTTCCATCTGCCATCGCTCTTTGCCTCATTCCAATTCCGTCATCCCTCTCTGGTGCCATCTTCTTTCTGCTTCTACGCTCGTCGCTCGCTTCTATGGATATCGCACCAAAAGCCGCATTCCTTTCGGTAGTTGTACAGCCTGGCGAGAGAACAGCAGTCATGGGATTCATATCCGTTGTTAGGACCTTCAGCCAGAGTTGCGGCCCTGTCATCACAGGCGTACTAGCTCAATCGGGACGATTTTGGGTGACTTTTGTTGTTGCTGGAAGTTTGAAAGCTACCTACGACTTGGGACTTCTGACGGGGTTCCGAGGCCATAAGACCGAGATGGACAGGGCTGAAAGGACAGCTAGCAGACAAGAGGTCGAAGAATAGAACTTGTGTCTGAGTTGACTTCTTCGAAATTGGGGTCAGCAATAGCCAAGCTATTATTCAGACGCCACAGCACTACCTCTCAATCTCAAGGCCGCTCGATTTCTGCCTTATCCCCAAGCTAGAGAGATTTAGAGCGATGTTATGTGATAACCAGCCAATCTAGAGTCCTTGCACGCTTGCTTCATGCAAATATGACGTGACAACGAGCAAGATGTCTGAACACGCAGACGTGCATGCATATTATGCACCTCGCTAGGAGCGATCTTGTTCGCATAGACGCGGAACGGAACAACATACTTATACTAACGAGTTCCCCATATTCGGAACCCGAGCTTCCTGATCTCTCAACTCAGAGACCTCCCGCTGGGTAACATTCATTCCAAACATCTTTCTATCTTTCCATCTTTCAGACAACCAACATTAAACTTTCCAGCGAACAATCATGAATCCCGAGAAGGATTGGAAAGAAGAACTCGACGAGTTCGGAGACCGTTTGAAAGCAAGAAAGGCAGCGGAGAAATACGCTCCTTGGCACCCGAGAAACGTCATCCTCCACCCTACCCGAACCTGGCGCCTGACGTTCGGTATTGTTGGTGATAGTGAGATGGAGAGAGCTTTGGCACATATGGATTCAGGGACTGCAGGTTCAAAGGATAAACCGAGACCAAAGCCGAAGCAGAAGTAAGACATGACGAGTTAGGAACTGATCTATGGGGTTGGTGGGACTTTGCTTGTGGGAATGCCCAGAGGTCAGTGACCGAAGGAGCTGAAGTGGCCCTATTGCAAGTTATGGAGAGATCTTCAATAAAGCTACTTGCTGAACAAAGCTCTCTTGTCAAGTTCTCTCTTCTCTAAAAGATGGGGTCTTAAAAGTGAGGTGCATAACCGCTATCAGAGCTTGTCAACTTCTGGGACACCACCTGCAGGCTCGCCAATACTCAGTGTCTCTTAGACCCCCAAACGTTAATCAATGTCTCCAGCTTCAATTGCCAAAGAAGACAATGTTCCACGTGATCAAGGCGAAAATCCTAGGGATTGCGCGATGCCCTAATAGGCATGGCGCCAAAAGATCCCCGCATCTCAACCTCGCGGATTTCCAGACCGAGAGGTTTCCTCTATGCCACAGAACAAACATCTTCCGTTATGTGTGACTATGAACATTCTTGAAGATCAAGTTACAGATCTTAACTACCTCGTCGATACCCCAATAGTTCCAACATCTCCTATTGCGGTGTCCGGCAGCATGAACGGCCAGCGACAATCCTCAAGTGCGGAGAGTCCCGCGGACACCGGTCCTGGGAGCGGAAAGAAGAGGAAAAACGACGAAATTGATGCCAACGGAAATACACATACAAGAGCAAAGAGAAACAGATACATATCTATTGCATGGTATATCTGTCAATTGATCAGATGTCCAAAACTGACTCTGAATCCAGTAACGAATGCAAGCGGCGCAAGATCAAATGCAATGGAAACACCCCATGCCAAAGATGCGGAAACCTCAACCTCGACTGTCAGTATGCGCCGAATTGCTGCTCAAATGGATTCAAGGAGTCCGAGGAATTTAAGCAGATGAATGCACACCTTGCCTCCCTCCAGGAACAAGTCGACAATTTGTACGCGAACCTCAATGCTTTGCGCGCTGGCGCAGATGCTATGAGCTATCCTCCTCCTTCCGAAGGTTCTATATCTGTCTCCCAACCTCCGCCGATCTCCCCGGCAAATCGATATCGATCAGCTCCTAAGCATCCATCATTCCGAGGACCGACCAGCTCGGCTTTCAGTCTCGATGTTGCGAAGAACACGCTGCATAATATGGGTTATCGAGGTCTGGTTGATGAAGGAGTTGTAACACAGGATGCAACGCCAATTGCTTCTCCACGGAGCATGCAGCCACCAACCTCAGTCACCCTCAGCGGCAGCCCAGATCGTGATCCCATATGGGCATTGAGCAAGGAGGAGATGGTGCGGCTCTGTCGTGTGTATGAAGAGGAAATGGGGCTCATGTACCCTGTGGTAAACATTGAGCAAATCATCATCCATGGAACAAATCTTTTCGATTTCATGGATGCCGCCCTCCGGACTAACATAGCGAACCCTAATACCCCAGGGAAAGGGGTCTACGACGAGCAGTCACTAGTGCTGAAGATGGTGCTTGCTTGTGCTGCCGTGGTGGAGGGGAATGGCCAGAGTGAGATTGGTTACCGATTATTTGAAAGTGTTAGGGAGGCGGCAGATCGAATCTTGCATGGCGAGGCAATTGAGGTGAAAAGTCTGCCGCTACTTGTTGTTGTGGTAGGTCAAAAATTCGTACTTCTGCACAGCACAAAACCTGTCAAACCCGAAATTCTATTTCATTGTCCAAAAAAAAAAAACGCAAGTGCCAACATGGCAATTCACGAAGGTACTTGCGCTTTATGCCCTCCTCTGGATTCGAACCAGAGTCTCCCTCAACCACCCATGAGTTGTTAGCGCATTGAAATGGCGGAGGGCATCATAACCACTAGACCAGGAAGGCTTTGTTTTTGCAGACAAAACCTTATTTGAGTACATACAACACTTTTAAAAACCCGGATCTGGTTGAACGTCCAAAACGAAAACAACGTCGGTTTCGAAAGCGGATACAAAGGATTTTGAAAGGACTCAAGCAGGAGCATAGCGTCCCGGATCTTTTGTTTTCCTTTATATGACAGTTGGAAAGTTTCCATCTCGTTCCAGTGTATTCCTGCTCATGTTTCTCCAGCAACTCCCTGTACCAACATGCTGATCAACTTTTATAGTCAATGTATCATTTCCATTGCGATGAAGAAGCATTGGCGTGGCGGATCATTGGCCAAGTTGCTCGAATGTGTATCGAGCTTGGCTTGCACCGGCGAGACTCGCTATTCAGGGTAGTTACGGATGAGGAGGAACGTTCCAATGCCATCAAGCTGTTCTGGTCAATATACGTTCTAGACCGGAGGTGGTCTTTCGGTACAGGCATGCCTTTTGCATTACAAGATGCCGACATCGATCCGAACTTGCCTGAGCCAGTAAGTCTCCAAAGCGCATTTTCAACGTTGTTAGATATTGATGCATCTGCAGGATTTAACCATTCCCTACCTCAACGTAATGATTTCTTACAGCCGAATTGGATCCAAAGTCTGGCAATCTGTCTGTTCCTTCTCGCCGCACCCAAGCCCAACTCTGAACTCGCAGGAGATTGGTTATCTCGACTACCAGATCCTCCAATGGCATAAGACCATCCCCCGAGAACTCCAACTCGCTGTTGAATCTTCAGCACCACAGAACTTCTCACGAGCCATCCACCGACTCAAAATACTGCTCTACCTGCGCGCCAACCAAATGCGCATCTTAATCTATCGCCCCGTCCTACACAGCGCATCCTCAATCCAAGAGAACCCTGGCAATGCAAGCCAAGTCGTCGAACTCGCGAAAGATACTATCCAGGTCCTCACACACCTCAACCAAACCACGGACATCTACCGCGCACAGCAAGTTTGCTTCAACTATTTCCTGATCTCCGCACTCGCCGTCATCTTCCTCGCCAGCTGCCACGCACCCGTGCAGTTCAGCTCCATCTGCCGCGAGGAGTTCTATATGGCGCTCGACCTCGTCAAAGGCTTCAGCACAAAATCCTTTGTCAGCAAACGCCTATGGAAGACCATCAAAGGTTTGAAGGAAGTTGGTCCGAAGCTCGGCCTTTCGCCTGACGTTGCTAGTAATGGCCATGGCATGAGTGCCGAGGACCCGCACTCTTCCGCAGCACTGGCGATGGCGGGTCTTGCGGGGCATGATATTGGATTGGGCCATCCGTTTGGAGGGGAGGGCGTTAATGGTGGAGGGTTGAGCAGTGGGAATAGTCCGATGAATGGGTTTCAGATGAGTCATGAGATGACGAATCTTTTTGAGGCGGCGTTGGGGAGTGTTGGGCAGGGCATGAATGGGAGTGGAGGCACGTATGTGCAGATTCCGGATGGTGATGCGTTGGCGGGCATTGGAAGCAATGTTTTTGGTGGCGATGAGGAGTTGTATCGACAGTTAAGAGATCTGTTTTGATGTTGCTTATGGTGGGAGTCAAGGGAGTGGTTGGATATGTATGAGTTACGACACCAGACAAAAACAAGTGAGCTTTGTTGATAGAATAGCCATGCACCGCTTTGAAGACATAGCAAGGAATTACTTTTACATATCATGGAAAGATAATCGCGCTCTCAATCGTGCCTACACACTCCCCAAACCCTACCAGAGCACCAGGCTCACCACCACACACACCTCTTATAGTAATCGTATCTCCATCCTTCAAGAACTTCCTGACATCCATCCCCGCTAACATAATCTCCTTCTTCCCACCCGCACTCATCTCCAGTAAGCTTCCCAGCCCAGAATCATCTTTCGTGCTGATGGTGCCAGAGCCGAGTAAATCGCCAGGTTGCATCGCACACCCGCCAACACTATGATGCGCTATCATCTGCGCAAAGCTCCACACCAAATTCCGTCCACTCCCCCTCGAAATCGTCGTGGTACTCCCCTCCGGGCCCGGGGTCGTCAAATCAACCTCTAGCCTAATATCATACACCGTATCCGACCTCCCTTCCTCCAGATACGGCAACAGCTTCGTCTCATTCTTCAACTTCTCAGCGCGGAAATGATCCAGTGCGTCGAAGAGCACTACCCAGGGAGATATTGTGGTGCCGAAGTTTTTGCCGTTGAAGGGCCCCAGGGGCACGTATTCCCATGCTTGGATATCGCGTGCTGACCAGTCGTTCATTAGGACGAAGCCGAAGATAGCTTGTTCAGCCTCTTTTATTGGAACCGGTTCACCCATTGGATTGGCTTTACACAGTAAACATCCCAACTCGAGCTCGATATCCAACCTCCTACTTGGGCCAAAGGTTGGAATCTTTGGGTCGACGGTCGGGTCGAGAAGGAGCTGACCATTCGGTCTGCGAATCGGTGTCCCGGAGACGACGACGGTAGATGCTCGCCCGTGGTACCCGATGGGAATGTGGAAATAGTTTGGCTGTAAAGCATTTGCGGGCCCGCGAAAGAGACAGCCTGCGTTGAAGGCGTGATTTTCGCCGGCGTAGAAGTCGGTGTAGTCGCCTATTTGCATAGGGAGGTGGGTTTTGGTTTCGTGCTTGGGGAGAAGAGCCGTCTTTTGTAGGGATACATTGTCCTTCAATATTTGAGGGTGGTCTGTGGTATCGGAGAGGATATTTTGGAGGTATGCGCGCACTTCGCGGTGTACGGGTTGCCCGAGAGCTGCGAAGGCGTTGAGTGTTGGTTGCGAGAAGACGGAGAGGTGATCTTTGAGAGATGGGAGGCTGGAGAACCCGTCTCCGTGAGCGAAGGCTTGCAGGTCGAGGACGAGCTCGCCGATTGCCACTGCTGGTCTCTTCTCGGTCTGCGAGATTTTCGAGGTGATGATTCCGAAGGGAAGGTTGGCGAGGGAGAAATGGCTGTCTTGAGGGATGGAGAGCCAGGATCTGAGGGGTGCCATGGTGAAGGTTCTGCTTATGATAGCGAAGTGTGGATTTTTGGGGTGAAGCTTGAAGGTAGGGCGAGAGAGCGTTCTCAGCATGTAGAATGCGTGTTAATGAAGTGCATGGAAAGTTTGAAGCTATCAACAGCTACAGGCACGGTTAAGCAAGGGTCGAAAGAAAGGCGGGGCGACGCGGGGTTGAAGCGGCGCAATTCCGCACCCACCCCTGTCTTCCACATTGGGTCAATGGTCACCTCGTCGAGCATTGATCGCCTCTGCCTCATTCTCCGCAAGCTTTCTCGATCCACCGAGGTGCGGAATGGAAACGCCCGTTGTTCTGGGGAAGTGGTGATGAGCCAGCGGATGCTCCAATCAGGAGAGAGTTAGATTCTGGCAAGAGCCTTTCACCTGACCAGGGAGGGGTGGTCAATCGAGGATTATGTGCTATGATTGAGGAGGACCCCTCTTGTGTAACTTCGTCTCCTTCTGACATATATCAAGTTGATGAACGCCGTCTCTTCCTCTCGGATCATTCCCATTGCAACCATGTCTTACCAAACCACTGGCATCGCCCTGATCGCAGTCATCTTCTTCCTCATCCGCTACCTAAACCGAACAGACACCCCGAAGGTCAAGAACCTCCCAGAGATACCCGGTATCCCACTCTTTGGAAACCTCCTACAATTCGGGAGCAGCCATGCCAGAGTAGCCGGGCAATTGGCAAAGAAATACGGTCCAGTATTTCAAGTACGACTTGGAAACAGGGTATATCCCTCCCAGCGGATAAGTCCGACAACAAACTGACGGAGAACAGCGGATCATATTTGCGAATACTTTCGACTCCGTCAGGCATCTGTGGATTACGAATCAGTCGGCATTGATCTCGCGGCCGACGTTACATACTTTCCATACCGTTGTGTCAAGCTCCCAAGGTTTCACTATTGGCACGTCGCCATGGGATGAGTCCTGTAAACAACGAAGGAAGGCTGCAGCAACGGCACTCAACCGACCTTCAGTCCAGACTTACATGCCAATCATCGACCTAGAATCCAATGTCTCCATAAAAGAGCTTCTGGGGGACAGTGGGAATGGCAAGAAGGACATTGATCCTATTGCATACTTCCAACGGTTCGCCTTGAACACCTCGTTGACATTAAACTATGGATCAAGAATCGACGGCAAGATTGACGATGAGCTTTTGCAGGAAATCTGTGATGTAGAGCGGGCTATCAGCAACTTCAGATCTACCAGCAATAACTGGCAAGATTACATTCCGTTGATGAGACTGCTGCCAAAGTCCAATGCTGAAGCTGTGGAGTTCAGGGAGCGGAGAGACAAATATCTCACATTATTGTTGAATAAACTCAAGAAACAGATTGCTGAGGGAACGGACAAGCCATGTATCACGGGCAACATCCTGAAGGATCCAGAGTCGAAGTTAAACGAGAGTAAGTCTTCAACAGAGTCGGGCGAACTTGAAGCTAAATCTTTAAAGATGAAATCAAATCCATCTGCCTAACCATGGTCTCAGCCGGTCTTGACACCGTCCCCGGAAATCTCATCATGGGCATCGCCTACCTCTCCTCTCCCCACGGCCAAGAAATCCAAAAGCGCGCCTACGAAGAAATCATGGAAGTCTACCCCAACGGCGACGCCTGGGAGCGCTGTCTCGTAGAAGAAAAGGTTCCCTACGTAACGGCATTTGTCCGAGAAGTCCTTCGATTCTTCACCGTCATCCCTATCTGCCTGCCAAGAACCAGCATCAAAGACATCAAATACGAAGATGCCGTCATTCCTGCTGGTACAACATTCTACATGAATGCCTGGGCCGCCGACTTCGATGAATCACACTTCAAAGACGCAAAATCTTTCGTCATCGAACGCTACCTTGAGAATCCTGAAGGCTCAGGAACCCCGCATTATGCATATGGAGCCGGTTCACGCATGTGTGCTGGCTCTCATCTTGCGAATCGGGAATTGTATACGGCGTTTATTAGATTAATTACTGCGTTCCATATTGATCCTCCGAAGGA